AAAGACATTAATAAATTGTACAATGTGACTTCTGTGGATTTAAGTAGTCAACTTTTAGTGCTTCTTATTTTAAGCTTTTTAATTTAACAGTAGTTGATACTTGTGATTTCCCATTATTTCTTTTAATGATGTGAATTGATAATTTGGGATTCATTACCCGGCGTGTGTTCGTATCCCAGGGAGTGATAGCATAGCGAAGTTCAACAATAGCATCCCAGGAGTGCGAACGCTCCAATGACCTTGAACGCATGCTAGTCGTTGACTAACGGCACCTGTTATTATCAAAGCTGAAATATCAAGGATACTCACCAACTAGGGAGCAAATTTCACCCAGATCACGTTTTTAAGTACTGCCTGGACAATTGTGTTAGTAGCTTGCTAGGGTTAGGATTAAGGTAAAGGTAAGTATTGGGATTAGGGTCATAATTGGGATTAGGTTACAGGATTTCATCATGAGCTGACATTAGTTAGAGAACCATTAGAAAACTTGGGAATACTGGACAGCTGTTTCGTCCTAGTTTGGGACTCTTCAGCAATACGCACCCACCGGGGTTCGAACCCACGACCTTCTGGTTACAAGGCTAGCTCGTATACCATTAAGCCGCTGGGATCCGATTCAATGGCTCATGAATTCTAACTTCTGCCAATTCACGATATAGCGCAACCGCTAGCCAATGTCTTCGGTGAGTATTTGTCCTCACACCTGGTCTGCTGCATCCTACTGGTCACGACTTCCCACTAGAACCCGAGGTAACTACCTGCCTGAATAGGGCAAGTCGCCAGTGAGCATCTCATTGATATTCAAGTATTGGTTTGTAAGGATTTGGTTGATTGGTTATAGAATTTCATCATGAGCTGACATCGGTTCCAACGGTTCTCTAACCGATGGCAGCTCATGATAAAATCCTGTAACCAATCAACCAAATCCCTACGAACCGATACTTGAATTAGGATTAGGGCTAGGATTAAGATTAGGGTTTGTGTTAAGTTCAAGGTTAGGGTTGCGATTAGGGATAGATTTAGAGTTGATTTCATTTATTTTAATTTGTTTTATTATTCACATTTTCCTGGTAAGTAGTCGTCTATCCTCTTGATGAAAACCATAGTAATTCAACCGAGGGCTTTTTGGGAAGTCTGCAAAACAGCATAAGAGAGATACACGATTCACAAAGACAGATCATCTTTAGCAACCTCGGTGAGTACATGTACAGAAACTAGTCTAACTTAGCAGCTGATACTCCCCACTATAACTTGGACACATTTTTAAGTCATGTCAGAAAAAGATACCATGTTTAATGTGTTTTCATGCATTTTCTTGTAAAGACACATCATTTCCTGTGCAAAAATTCCTCATTTCTATGATTGGTCGGCTCAAGGACACCCGTGCGTTCGCATCCCTTGGGATGCTATTGTTGAACTTTGCCGATAGCATTTTTTATTATAGCTTGATTCCACACAGTACTTTTGGTAGTAGTATGGAATTTTCAGCATGTGATATCGGTAGCCCAAATTTTGCAGGCTGACCATTAATATAAGGCGTGCGTCTGCTGGGGATCGAACTCCGGACCATGTGCATGGTTGGCGAAAGTCCACTAGGATTCGAACCCAGGACATATCATTTGGAGTGCTTACGTCTTACCGAATAGTTTAACGAGCGGTAAGGTCCACCTTCTGACCGCCATCACACAACATGGTATTCAAATTATGCCAAAAGCATGATCGAAGCTTCCATTTTGCAGCGTACACACTTCAATAGAGTTCGGTCAAGTGAAATAAACAGTGAATGATGTAGAATATCAGTGGACAACAACTAGTGTAGTGATGGCTCACAAAACCTGTGGACATTTACTTTTACCATCTGGAGGTTGAATTCAAGTCTGAGTAGAATCAATACTACCTACCGAGATGACTGTGATACATTCGTCTAATAAATTAAGAAATGAAACAACAAAACTACAGTGAATTATTCGCAAGTTATTTATCGGTAGGAAGCCTTGCCATACCTAGGTTTCGTGTTTGTTCGTAGTCGTCAGCAAGGAGTATCTACAATCTTGAAGGAACAACTCATTTCCCTTCTGATATTTGACTGACTGATAGAATTCAAAATTGCCCGCGGATTGATATCAGTTAGAGAACCAATAGAAAACTTAGGAGTACTAATTCAGCTGTTTGCTTCTAGTGTGGGACTCATTAGCAGTAATTACCCACTAGGTTCAAACCCAGAACTTTATGGTTACAACACAAGCTTTTAGACCATTCGGCCAGCCCATGAATTCCAACTTCTAGCAATTCGTGAATTTAGCGCCACTGGTACCAGACAATGTCACTGTTGAGTACCTGTCCTCACTCCCGACAGAATGGACCTCACTGATCACGAATTATCCCTATAAGTCTCTGCAATCAACTTCGTCCTGTGGGTGCACACTACCGACGAGTCCAAAATTAGGAAGGAACAACTGTCCAGTACTCCCTGTGGCCGGTTTTCAATGGTTCTCTAACTTGATATGAATTCGTGATCAAACTAGAAACAAATGAAATCCCTGCAATTAAACTCTTGAGAACTAATGTATGTTGAAATTGTAATAAAACTATTAAATTTCATTATTCAAATTGTAAACAGTTGACGAAATAAACAGTTGGTCCCATGTTTAATCCTGCTCCATGTGTTGCTGTTATTGCTTTGTTTAAATTTTAAAGGCTGAATTTTTGTCAATCTTGCACGCCGTATCCACTAGATGTGCCAATATGGAACTCTTAATTAACTTTACAATTCCTATTCCTAACCATGTTTGACAATTCTAAAACTGGCAAAAGTGAGCTTTCCTAATCGTTCTACCTACCTATGTAACTGCTTCCACAAGAAGATGAAGCTACTGAATGACTCACAGCAGAACTCAGAAATAGTTTAAACATTCTTTGCCACAAGACTATGTTTAAATTCACCACCAATGCAGATGAAGGAGAAGCTACGGAGTCTGGCCACTTCAATGTGCATTTATGAGACTAATTGCTCTCGTGGAGACAGTCAAATAAAGTAGAACCACTCGAAAAGCCATTTTAGTATCGTCTAATGTTGTGGTTAGATAAAGGAGTAATAAAGATAATCAGGAGTTCCGTAGGTGAGCTTCTAGTGGGTACAGAGCACAAGATTGTTCAAATTTTTAAAATGGGAAATACGTGTATGAAATGTCGTGTTTATCTAAACTCTAGAATAATACAGTAGAGATGACTGACAAGAACAAAACTGAAATTCAAGTATTGGTTTGTAGGGATTTGGTTGATCGGTTACAGGATTTCATCATCAGCTGACATTAGTTAGAGAACCATTGGAAAACCTGGGAGTACTGGACAGCTGTTTCGTCCTAGTTTGGGACTCTTCATCAGTACGCACCCACCACAGGGGTTCGAACCCAGGACCTTCTGGTTAGAAGGCGAGCTGGGGTTCCAGTGGGAAGTCGTGACCAGTAGGGTGCAGCAGGTTGGGTGTCAGGACATTGGCTAGCGGTTGCGCTATATCGTGAATTGGCAGAAGTTAGAATTCATGGGCCACTGGATCGGATCCCATTGGCTTAATTGTCTATGAACTCGCTAGCCTTGTAACCAGAAGGTCCTGGGTTCGCACTATGGCGGTGGGTGCGTACTGATGAAGAGTCCCAAATTAGGACGAAATAGCTGTCCAGTACTCCCAGGTTCTCTAATGGTTCTCTAACCAATGTCAGCTCATGATGAAAACTGAAATTAACATTTCCTTATTGGCTTTATTGAAACGTTACAGTCCATAACTTACTACATACTGTGAAACACACAATAATGATAAGTTATTAAGCCTTATAGTGCTATTGTCGACTTTGATAGATGAAATCTAATAGCAAATGTATTACAACCGATGTAACACTCTGTAATCAAAGAGTTCCGAACAGCTACTTCGCTGTAGCTTAGGTCTTTTTTTAACAGTACGCACTCATGTGCCCCAGAGCCTCGCCAGTGGTCGAACCAAGAGTCTTTGGGTGACCAGCCAAGCCAACTGTCCATTCAGTTAGTGGAATGGAATGGACTGTGAATTCTAACTTCCAACAATATATGAATACCATCAGATAATATCATCGACACGTATTTGTCCCCACAATCGACTTGATCATGAATTCTCACTGGAACTCCACACTACAGTCAGGTGCTGATGTCAATTCGTGATGTAACTTGAAATCGGTCAGTTTCTTACAGACTAACACTTAGATATAATAATAGTAATGAGTCAAAATGAGTCATATGTTTGATCACGAACTGATATTAGAGAACCATTGGAAAACCAGCAGAGAGTACAGGACAGCTGTTTCCTCCCATTTTGCAACTGTTCAGCAGTATGGATCAGTCGGGGTTCGAAACCAGGTGGTTCCAGCAACCAGGTGAGCTCATTGACTATTCACCCAATGGGAACCAATCCGATAGCCCATGAATTCCAACTACTACGAATTTGCGATATTTAGCGTGGGCAGATGCCTACTTCTGGAGTGTCCCAAACTGGGAGTACCTCCTGGTATTTCAGTGGTTCTCTAACTGATGCCGACTTGTGATAGGAACAATCAAATTCCTACCAACCAACACTTAATAAGAAGGATATGTAATTGTACAATCTGGTACTGAATATTGCACACACCAGGTGGGGTGCGACGACAAATACTCGTCCGTGACTTTGGCTAGTGTCAGCCGCGCTATATCGTGAATTGGCAGAAGTTGGAATTCATGGGACACTGGATCGAGACCCAGTGGCTTAATGGTCTACAAGCTCGCCTTGAAACTAGCAGGTCCTGGGGTCGAACCTCTGTGGTGGGTACGAAGAAGAGTCGAAGAATCTCAGACTAGGAAGAAACAGCTGTCCAGTACTCCCCGCAGGTTTTCCAATGATTCTCCAACCGATATCATCTTATGATTAAATCGTGTAACCAATCAAATCCCAGCAAAACAACACTTGTATATTAAAATGAAACATTGAATTAACTTACCGTTTTAAAGTCATTATAGTGCCTTTAATACGTTTACATTTTTCATTTACATCTTTCAGCTGATACAGCTGATCATCCAAAATTCTAAGTAGAAACGAAAAAAACAACAATCCAAAGTGGTGAATGAAAAAGTTTTAAAAAAAATAATTATCAAAGATCTGAACATTTTTAAGACAGTTTCAACCCCATTTAGCTTAAATGAGATGAATGCAGATTTGAAATTGTCATACTTCAATTAATAATGAAATTGTCATTGATGAGTTGTAACTATTCTGCTTTAATGTAATTGAAGATTTCTAGATAGTGTACAGCCATGAATCTACTGCGTCAGATACGATCTTATGGTGATCACAGGCTGAGAAATAAACATGATACTATTGTGGTGAGAGCTGTCTGCGAGCCAAAATTGTAAACAACAATTTACGTAGTGTTTACGTCCCGAATAGGGGTCATGAGAAAAAACAAGAACAAAGCTTAACCTTTAGGAACTCAACAACCAATCACAGCAGACTTAGCGTGTGCAGATATATGGCTTAACTCTCTAAGAAACGGTCACAAGCAGTACAGAATAACCTTCAGCAAGAAAACAACCAATCAGAAGACGTTGCTTCTCTACTAACAATAACGAATAATGATGTACATAAAGATCTATAAATATCTCTTGATTTTCCCAATGGACGATCTGCTGTTTGGCTCTTATCTTCTGTCGTTACAGTAGTAGTGATGAAACGCTTACCTTTGTCGATACATTGTAAAGTTGATCAATAATACTAAGAATCATGAAATATGATATCAGTTATAGTTCAAGAACAAGTGAACGCATGAAATGCAGTTCTTAAAAGGATCAACAAAGACTGGAATAACATAATGGTGATACAACATCTGATTATACAGCTACACACAACTCCTCAAGTAAAAAATGGCTAATGTTCAAAAAGTTTACACACCACAAATTTTTCTCAGACTTGCTTCATAAGCATTAAATTAATGTTACGACATTTAAACAACTCCATCAGATACACAGATAGTAAATAAACTAACCTCTTTTGAATTTCGATAGCTTTTTTCTCAGCTTCTTCACGACTGTTCAACACTTGTTGAATTTCAGGATAATGACCTGTATAGTTGAAAAATTTGTGGTCATGATTAGTCAAATTAAAAATTACTTTTTAGATACATACTACTGTGATGGCTAAGAACAAAATAAATCCTAAGTCATGTCGAAACTTAAGCAAGTAGACTCTGAATGATTACTTTGGAACTTAGTACTTAGACCTTCAGATATATAATCACGAGATTACCTGTTGAAAACTTTTGTCTGGAATTCATCGATAAAATATTAAAGGCAGGTTAACGATTAGGTAGATATCGTCAGCATTCGATACCAGTTAGAGAACCATTGCAAAAAATAGGAAGAATTAGGCAATTGCCTTATTCTAGTTTTCATACCCTCGAGCCTAGAACTTTCAGATTACGAGGTAAACCCGTCAGCCATTCAGTAAACGTCTAGAAGAGTCCCATATTGAGATGAAACAAGTGTCTATTACTTCCTGCTTGTCTGATATAACTAACATTGAGTTTTACCAAAAATTACAACGGAACTTAGAGCCTGCTGTTGGGAAAAACTAAAAAAACTTTCTTTATTGGTCTACCTATGCCTATTTAAATGAATAGACAATTTTTTCATGCTAATATTGTTACAGTAAATACAGTCGAAGACTCTCTGACGTAGTTACATCTCTCCAAGTAATTGGTTAGGATCAAACCAGCCAATAATAACCTGTTACTCAGCAAATATGCAGGAGAAAACGGAGGTGCATTGGAAGCACACTGAGGAGACCGTCAAATGATATGGCACACCAGGCCATAGCTCAAGTGGGATTCGATTGGGAATAGACAAGCAGGGTGTCCAAAGGTGATATATAGACGAGGAGATGAGAGCCTATGGGCAAATGTGCAGTCAGTTGAAGAGGACTTCAGTTAATAAGAAAGTGTCGAGATGTGCTGTTGAGAACCTATATTCCATTTGGAACCCCGGGGCACTTCTGATTATTGTGCTGAAAGTACGACTGTATGGTTCAGTGGTAGAATTTACGCCAGCCAGGCAAGAGACAGTTAGCTGGATTCCTGGAATGGTTTGGATTTTCATCACACCAGTCATTATAAAATATATCAGTACAAGATTACAGTAATGAAGTTATCTCAGATAGTCTCACCAATTATTATAAACACCACAATTCATACATGTACGCAAGCATGCACACACACACAGACATCCATCCTCATTAATCGATTCACTTACCACATGCAACACTAACAGCTGAATTAATCGAATCCAAACGATTCTCCAAAGTTTGTACATACGGGAGAGTAATTCGACAACGATGTTGTAAGACATCATTACCTGTTTGTTCAATAACACATTCAAGATCATGTAATTGTTCAGTTAATTCTGAACTAATATCATGCATTTCTTCTAAGGAACGATCTAAATTTCGACGTTCATTTTGAATTATTTCAAGTCTTGAATCGAAACATTTTTTATGCTTTGCATTCTGTTGTTGATTTGATAATTTCTAAAATAATTAAAACAAAAATTTGGGAGACAGTTAGGACTATAGATATGCATGTGAATATGTGTATAAAGAACAAATGAATGAAGAAATAGACGGCCAATTAACAAGACGTGAACAAGATTGAACACTCAAAAGATCCACCTACAGAAAGCCAACATTCAACGGATAACTTACTAACTTTCACAGTTGGGTGCCACTATATACAAAACGAAACCTGATTGGTTCACTGAGCCACAGAATCCGCAGGGTAGAATTTGCAGCTCTGATACTATGGAAGAGGAGGCAAATACTCTGAAGAGAATCCTCCTCGAAAATAGCTACCCAGAACATTTCATCATAAAATCTATGAAACCTACACTGCCGAAACCCCTCACACTTTCTGCTTACAAAAAACTGCTCTACTTGAATCTACAAATCAATGGAGACTCATCAACAGAAATACTGAAGAAAACCTTCTTGGAGACTAAACTCCCACTAAGCTTCTCTATGTAACCAGTGATTCGCATGAACGTGAAGGATAAGCCACCACTGTTGGTCTCATCAATGTGCATCTACCAATTCACCTGCTCGTGTGGAGAAGCTAGGTATGTCGACCGTGCCCAGAGTTTGCTATGCAAATTTATCGTCGAACACTTACCCACAGTCATGGTTTTATAAAGGAGGCAAAAGTTACCCCACAGCTCTATCTTGAAACACCTGATCAAATCAGGACACCAAGCAAACCCACAAACCAACTTCAAAGTCATCTACAGAATACGTGGAAATCTTGCTAAAAGAGTGAGAATCAAACTTCTTCAAACTGCAGAAGCAATGGCAATTCACATGTTAAATCATGAACTCTGCATACAAAAGAAGTTTGTTCAGTCCTTAAATCTACAGTGGACCAAATACGTAATTTGGGTTTCGTTTTTTTTGCTTGTTTGTTTCTTAATTGTATAAAATTTTCTTCCCTCCCTCACCCTTTATTAAATTTCTACCCCTTATTACCACTGTTGTTAACTTGACTTTTGTTTAATTTTAATTTCATTTGAGCTCTACTCAACCCCATTAGTTAGATTACGTCACTCAACTTGTTTATTTAATTTTATTTTAGTTTCTAATCCATTAACGAAATTTGTTATCTAAAATCTACAATTCTTATGATACATCTTTGGAAATATCCCTTTTGTTGCTAAGAAAATTTGCTATGTACATGCGATTGTACAACTTGAGAAAGATATTGCCGAAAAGAGTAACTCTTTGCTGAACGCCTTTTCTTTTTCATATGATATTATTTAGTCGGAAGCAATAGACAGAGGTCTCTCGTTGACCAAGGTTTCGTACTAATTGGCTTTCGTCAGCAAGGCTTACCTGTAATCTCAAAGGTAATGATGCCACCTTGGAGATTCGAGTACATGTTACCCAGTACTAAAGTTAGAGGAGTTATCATTGAGGTATTCGGGCACATAGCTGGATTCCTGTAGGACTTTGATGGATACATTAATTAGTCATTAGGCAGTAAGTAATGACATCACTTAGTTCACTGTTAAGTTCTATCAGTAAGTTTACAATACGATCACTATGCTAAATGACTTCCGATCGGGATCCACTTTGAACTGATTAACAGTTGGCTGAAAGGAATCTACTAGAAGCTCTAGACCAGAGTTTCGTGCTTAGTATCACTTGAATCACTAACTCTGATGACCACCTTGTAAAAAAAACTTGACTGATCAGATTCAGTCAGCACTGACATCTACAGCGGATTCAAATGACAATGATGGTCAATTTATGCACACAAAAATGAATTTCATTCACAGCAAGTTCATTTGGACAGCTGGTAATTAAAATCCTGATTTATAAAAAGAAAACCATTACAAGATTAAAATTCCATCTGTCTATCTAATGATCCCTTTGGGGCAAAATTTATGTAAATTACACAATTTATATGAGAGAAGGTTTTAATTAATTCATTTTATTAATGAGACACAGATTTCCTGAAGCAAATCTAATCTCTGCAAGTCAAGTAGTCGCAGTGATTTTAGTTATTGGTTGATTTTCATCTTTTAGTTGTTCAAATGTTGGTTTTGCATAATTCTAATTAGTCGCAAACTAATATTTGCGAGCAACTTAGACCAAAAAATATCTGTCAACTGACCAATCTTAATATTTAGTGTCAAAGGATGGTGCATTACACTGCATTGCAGTATCACATCGCTTGGCTCAGTAATCCAACAGACTATCTGATCAATAAATTTTGAACTACTAAACATCAGTTGACCAATGGGGATAGATTTCCGTCTTTCGTAACGATAAGTAACATTATATGAAGACAATAGGAATATTTTGTAGGCGAAACATTCTCAGCTAAGAATGTAATCAAATGTTGTGACAGTAAGCAGTCAAAAGTTGAAATCAACATTTTAAGTCAATGGTTGCAGCAGAGGTAGAAGTGTTTATTCCTCAAATATGGGATTAGTTTACGTTGTGGTCTGGAAATAATCTCATTGGACAACTTTTCATCCACTTGTTTAACCTCGGGCCAATCTCGCCAACCAATCAGAGCAGTCTGTTTACCTCTAACCCAGCTGACATTGAATATGGTTGAAACGGTATAGACATGACGCGTTTTTTCCTGATAACACTTGTCCGTTATCACCTCTCCTATGTTTTAGTAGACAGTAAGTCTTACTGGTCCCTTCGAATCAATAGATTACGCACAAGTCCCAATTCCATTCCATCTCATCCCACTCCACCACCCAAGATTTTGACAGCTAGGTAGATGTCATCCGGCTTCCTTTATAAAATAAGTACAGAAATAATGCAAGTAGTTGTTGGGTTGACATCAATTCCTCCTCTTATATACATATATCGAATAACTGCCTTCAATTAGTAACTATGTATATATATGTATAAGTATATAGGCTGGGCGTGGTGGCGTACGCCTGTAAACTAGCTACTTGGAGGCCACGGTGCGGAATTTCGCGGGACCGGGAGTTCTGGCATATGGGTGCTCATGTTGATCGGGCGTCCACGCTAAGCACGGCGCCGATATGGATGACCTGTCGGAGGATGGGTTGTCCAGGTCGACTAAGGCGGGGCGCACCGGCCCAGGGGGGAAACCCAGCAGGCAAAAGTCCCTGCGTGGTGCGGTAGTGGCATAGCGCCTGTGAATGGTGGCCATGTGACAGCCCGGTCCGCGCGTGGAGACCGCCTCCTCGTTTTTTTACTTATCCATACCTGTACGATTGGTGTGTCCTACACAGGTAGGAAAAATGTATTTTATTAAGTTACTATTATTAAATATGCTTACTAATCGTATATGTACTTTATCATACTGATGATGCCTGTAAACTGGCGTCCCTCATATACAAAATGAGAATATATTATTATATATATATATATACAGGCATATAAACATACCATTACAATTTTATTACAATTATTCATATCACATGTGAATTTCCTATTGAATTCATTCAGTAATTGATGAAAGGATTTAACCGACTTTCGCATCTCTTCAATTTGATAAAGTTTCGTTTTCAGTAGGGCTTGTCTTTTGTTAGCTGTCAGATCCATATTTGCATTTTTGAATTGATTATTTGAGAAGAGAAACAACAGGGAGACAAAAAAAGCATAGAAGAAAAACGAGAAAGTTATGTGATTACACAAAAAAACACACTAAAATTGAAGGGGCGGGGCTAATTCCTAGAGTCTGTTCACCATTAGATAATGTGACTCAGAGAGACACGAAAGTACTTAATATGCAACAGACATATATACTTTTTTCTATAAACCCTGATAACATTAGAAGGGTAATGTCGTTGCATCCCACTGAATTTATCAAATATAACATATATCCATGGTAACATATACATAGAGAGGACTCATCAGTCTTTGAATGTTACGGTTACAGAAAATAGTTTTTTTGAAGTAGCTGTATGAACAAATAAAACCACCTAACTCACTTGATCGTCGGTATAGAAGATGCTCAGCATCATCTATCTCAAAGCACATCACAGAAGATGGATAGTAAAGCCAGTTTCAAAAGTGTCATTAAATAAAGATATATAAAACAGGTTCAGTTAATTTCTACTGCAAAAAAAGCGGCTTAAACCTGTTTGATGTATTTGAAAACTATTTTGTATTGGTTGTTTCATTCATTTTTGTTTTCTTAAAGTTGACTGACTGGATCAAAATATCCGGACTCTGTTAATGTCAGCTCCTAGAACGAACGCTTCGATGATGTCTTTGGATTAGGATGATGTTATTTGATGAATTGTGACTAGTTCCGGAATCCAGGATACACATGGTCTAGTGGATAACACTTCGGCGTTTGAAACGATGGGTTCTGGATTCAAGTCTCAGAGGGAAAACTATCAGTCACTCATTCGATGTGCCGTACCCAGCGCTCGCTTTCCAAACGTATCACCGAGCACTTACCAACATGGTTTTACAAAGGAGAAAATCGATGCCCCCGCAGTTCCATCTTAGAACATCTGATAGAATCCGGACACCAAGCTACACTGCAAACAAACTTCAAAGTCGTCTACAGAGTAAGAAGTAGTCTCCCTAAAGGTGTACGAATCAGACTTCTTCAAACTACAGAAGCAATGGTGATTCACTTGCTAAGTCCTGAACTCTGCATACAGAAGAAGTTCGTTCAATCACTACACTTGCAATGGACTTAATCTATCTTATTAGCCGACATGTAAATTCTACCTAATCTTTTCTTCTGTCTCTTCATTCGTCTTATTTTGTCTTCTCAATTGTAACATTTTACATTTTCAACTTTCTTGTTCTCTACCCCCACCCGTTTTAATTTCTACACCTCACTACCACTGTTACTGACTTGAACAACGCTCAGTTTCTAGTCATTCACGTTACGTCATCTAACTTATTCACTCAATTTCACTTCTACTTAATCTCTACCTCTAATTACCTCTGTTGCTATCCTGACCTAAGTTGTAACATTTTAGCCAATTATATTACGTCATCTAGCTTTTTAACTCAATCTTACTTTATTTGCTGTCTGATTAACTTTGTCTCTGTACTACATCATTCTTGTATTAACTAATCAATTATCTAAACTTGACAAACCTGATGTACACACACACACAAATAATTATATATAAATGCGATTGTACAGCTATGTGAGTGAATTCGCCGTAAAAAAGAGTCTCTTCGCTGAATGTCTTCTCTTTTTCATATGACTCAATGGGGATTTTCAATCTGCATTCCATGTGCATTGCTAATACATCCACCAATGACGAGCCCCAAATGGGACGAAATATACATTCTGGATTCCTCTAAAATATATTTGTTACTATTATTGACCTTGTCTTGACAATTCATTTAAGAAACCAAGTGCTCTGTTTCAAGCTAACAATTATTACTACTTATTTTATTTTTTTTTGCACTGCGTTCCACCCAAAAAATATGGCTTCAAACTAGAGCTTTGAGGTTACAGTAGTCTTGGTGTGGTAACTCTTTTCGTAGGCTAGGGATAGAATCCCAGACGATGTAAGGCATGATTGGCGAGCATTCTACGGCTCACTAGAGAGACATTGTATTGGTTTCAAATACTTATGCCATGTGCTGAGAACAACAGTGAGTTATAAATCATTTGTGTGTTAGCCTATTGGAAATGCTTTCACTGACGTGCAATGGAATATTCTGACCCAAATAGAAAAACTAACTTAACATGGACGTTCAAAATCCGAATCTTATTCTTTGCACTGAGTGCAAAAGAATTCCAAACTGATTCCAGAGTGATGAAGGTTTGTCTTGCTCTTCTGATTCTGGTTTTGACTAACTCATTCTTGCCGACTGCCTGTACTTGAAACGATGTTGACTAGGTAATTGAAAGAAGTGACCTCATTCAAATTTCTTTCGATGACAGTGATGGGTGCTTGTTGTTGTTGATGATGATGTTGGTTGGTTATCTTCATCACCTCCGTATTCTCTACGTCCAACTAAAATCCTGTCTTTGCTACCTGCTTCTTCTGCAAGTTTGTTGGTTTCCACCTGTAGGTCCTCAAATTTATGTGACGTTAGACATAAAACGTCTGTGAAGTTCAATTTTTTTTAAAGTCTTCTTATCTGTCCAACGTATTCCTGTCTTCTCACTCGTAACGCAAAGTCCACCAGATTTAGGAAAATCATCGGTGATACTCCTGTATTCACTTCAAAGACTTTGCTGTTTACTATTATGGATCACCTGTAGCGCAGCGTTGTCATATAGCTGTTTAATGAAGTTGATATAGATTTGGGGCAGTTCGTAGTGTTGAAGTTGTTTCCAAGTTACTTCTCGGTCAACGTTGTCGAAGGCCGACACAAAGTCAATGAAACTTATGTAGGGGTTTTATTGTCTTTCTATGCTCTGTTCCATAATGATGCGTAGAGTTGCAATTTTTTTCCGCATACTAATCTTTTCACTACTACTGAGATCAGTAGTAGTTGTATACCACTCACCTCGATCAGATGTGCTTGCTAGCCACATCGAAGTGATCCAAACACCATATGGCCAATTAGCTTGTTTGAAGCCAAGCTGATCGGCCGTGTAGTCAGTTTCAACTCCGCACAGGTAACTGTGTGGTGAGAGCTGGCTGCTAGCCAAAGTTGGTAGACAGTAACTGACGTCAATGTTTATGTCCCCAATATTGGTGGTGAGAAAGTGAGAACAAAGGCTTTGCGTAGGCGGATACAGTTAGCATATGGATGATCTGACACAGCCACAAAGAGATGCAAGGTTAACTTTCTGTGAGAAACAACCAATCAAAAGACTGTATTTTCTACTAAAAATAATCTACAAATAATGTACATTAAAATCTATAAATATGTGTTGATTTTCCTTAATAAACGACCTGTTGCCTGGCCCTTGTCTTCTGTTTTTACAACTGAATCAACTCAAATCACCCGAATTCTGGTATGCTTCTTCGCAGCTTCCAAATTATCAATTTTGCTGGAGAAAGAAAGACCAGATTCGCAGTATAAAATGATATCATCATTCTATTTCACAGGTTCTCATCAGCTGCACACCGCTACCTGAAATTACAATGGCTATATAGATGATAATAACACACTTTGATGTTTAATTGGTAGTAGAGAAGAAATACTATAAAACTGACGCATACAAGATGTAAGCATTACATTGCCTTCTTATATCTCTAGTAGAATGCTGTATACTAATGTATAAGGAGGAATCTTCCTCTGCCTTGTTTACTGACGCTCATGTTATTCAAGGTGACGTAATCTCTCCTTTTCTTTTTTCTTTATTCTGAAATAACTTAACCCTTCGAATGAAATCAACTTCGTCAAATACACTGAAGATTTAACCCTCTCGCTTCTTGTTAAGTCCCAATCACACTGTTGCTTTTGTCGGATATCAATCGGTGGTCTAAGCTATATGGTAACATGTTAAATCCTTCAAAATACCAGACTATTGACTTCTCCTTTAGACATAAACGTGATGTACAACGATTGGTTAGTACACACGATGCTTGTAGCACTGAGGAGACTTTAATAGGAGCTATTATTATTATTATTGTTCCCTTGGGTTCCTAGTGGAACATAGGACTTCAACTGCACGTCTCCACTTGCTTCTGTCTTCTGCTGTACTTTTCACCTGCATCCATGTCAGTTCATACTGTTTCAACTCTTCTTCACACGATCTCCTCCATGTCACCCATCGACGTCCCACTCGCCGATTCCCTTTCGGGTTCCACTCGAGCTATGGCCTGACGCGGGATGTCACCCAGCGGCCTCCTCATCGAATGTCCAATCCATCTCCACTTTCTTCTGCATATTTGTTGAGCGATTGGTTCTTGTTTTGTTTGTTCCCATAGTTTCTTGTTGGTGATTCTTTCCGGCCATCTGATCTTGTGTATAGAGCCAGCGAAGACAGTTGTTGATAAAGGTCTGCAACAGGCTGTTGGAAATATTCCTTGTGACCTGCCAAGTTTCTGATCCGTATAGAAGAACTGACTGACTTGACGTTTGTACTGAAAATCCGAATTTTGTTGTTGATGCTGAGTGAACAACAAACCTCGCCTAGATTACTATTTCGCTAGTTTTCTAGCCGGTCCCAAGCCCGGATAAAGAAGGAGGGTTGGGGCGTGGTGCTAGCAGCTCCACCCCCCAAAACTCAACCAAATTGCTACAGAAGCTTCAACGCATAAATATATTAATAGGAACTAAGTCTAACACAAAATACCTTGGTATAGTTCTATCCTCTGAGCTTACTTGATCATCCCATATTTTGTCGGTTTACAAGAAAATGTTCCGTCTAGCCTTCTACATTAAGAAGCTAAGACAATATGGAATCACTCAAACTCTACCTTTACAATTTGCTAACTCGTGTATCTTACCTATTGTACTTTACTGCTCCCCACCCTTAGTCTATCCAAACTACTGAAAAAGGACTATATCATTTTGAGGGTGTCCGTAGGGAAAGTGGTGTGCTACTTAGTCAGCTTGTTACCACATTAGTTGATAGACACCTGAACTCATGTGAGAAATGGTCTAAATCCATACTGTCTGACCCTCAACACCCCCTCTATTCTCA